AGCAGGTGTCAGTCACCTCGAATAACGTTCGCCGTAGTAATACGGGTAGGCTATCCGACTTCGTGCGACGGCCGAGTTTTATAGCCGCCTTTTTGTCGGGAGTCTACCAGGTCAGTCGCCTTCCTCGACGTTACTGCACATACGACATGAATCATAACGCAGAACCTACACGCGATTACGAAAATCTAATATAGTAAAATGTAATATAAAAAATAATATAGTCGTTGTATTTTTGATGGGTTTCTAGCAGTTCAGTCACCTCGAATGACGTTTGCCGTGGTAATAGTATTTGGGGTCTAGCGGGTCGGTCACGTTCCTCGACTTTGGTCGTAGTCACCCTGGAAGGCAACCCGACAATATTCGACGGTTGGGGCACGTCATCACGTATGCAATCCGACTGCGTCGAATCGCGGACGACGTTCATTACTGTTACAGAAAACGCAAAATTAAAGAATAAATTACGTGAAGAAAATTCAAAATATTTCGGGTGTCCGTGCAAATCATATAGCCACCGTTAGATTTTTTGGTGTCTAGCAGGTCACCCATATATGTTATCCGGGTAGGAGATGTGCGGCCGGGACAGCGTCCGTCACCAAATCAATTAAGTACCAAATTACGTGATGAAAATGCAAAATATTTCGTAAGCAATCCGACTACTTCCTAGTCAACTTCCTCGACGTAATTACGCGAAAATATGTTTTGGGGTCTAGCAGGGGATCTGGGGTCTAGCGTCGGATAGCGGACAACGTGTGACTTCTGACGCAAAATTAAGTAATAGGTCACGTGCAAAAAAAATGGTATATGTCTTGGTGTCTAGCAGGACAGTCACCTTACTCGGCGTTGGACGTAGTAGCCCTGGTAGGCAATCTGACTTCGTCGGATAGTGCGACGTCCGGGTCAAGGCATGAAAACGCCAAATGACGTAAATCAAATATATATGAATACATTTCGGGCGCCCGTGCTAGTCGTAATATATTCGTCGTGATTTGTTGAGTGTTTAGCAAGTCGGGCGGCCACGTTTAATAGTTTTTGTCGTTTATAGTAGTAGAGCGATTAAGAAGCGGAACTCGGTCAGCTAATTGGGATTTCGTTTCGCCATGGTCCTCCGAAAAACACGGAAACGTTTCCGCGCAACGACATGATGTCAGACCCAATGTCTCTCGTATCACATAATAGGCAGGAAGGTATCCGCTGATACCGCCGAGTGGATAGACCAAGGTGGATCAATCCACCTTGGGATAGACGATAAACGGTCGGTGATAAGGCCTTGGCGGTATTCTGTCGAAGGCGGGATTGTTTGAAAACCATGTTTGCGTGTGTATCAATAAATTCGAGTGATGGTCCTAAGGCATTATTATGACCATATGAAAAAATTTTGCAAAAATGAAATAAGAACGATGGCCAAAAGTGTAAAGTTTAATGCCGTGTTCGAATGAATAATATAAAACTATAAGATAATTAAATAATTTGTCAATACAATAAATTAATTAATCGGCCGTGCGATATCGTTACCCGCATTGGTTACCTGCCTTGACTCTTGTTATTGTCGCCGTTCTAAGACCAAGCACTGCGCCGACGTCCGACTTTAAAATCATTTCATACAAACTGTTTGAAGCAGCAACACGTGAGTATACATTGTATTAATTATTTAATTGGTGGCTTTTTAAAAACCTTTTTTACACCGCAGATCGTAGGTAATTTATCAATTACTATAATGTAACACATGCTTTCCGATTAACGAATTTAATATTTTATCATACCCTCAACATATAATAATACCGACAGATCACTAATAGTTTTGTTTTACTATACACTTTCTTTATTGCTTTTAATTTGTCAACTTCAGAATGAGTAACAACGTATAAAACATTAGCGGCAATTGCCAAGCGTAGGTACATGAGGTACATTATTTATAATAATATAAAAGTTTTAGTATACACTTTATTTATTTTTTAGAATGAGTTTAATAAGATACATTGGATTTTTTTTTAACACGTCCAACGCGGATCGTATTTATGAATTAATAATATCTTATTGTAATAATATATAAATTTGCGAAGAAAATCGAGCCTTAGTTTTGTCTGCAACACATGGTTTCTGTGAAACAAATTAAATATTTTTTCAATTTTTTTTTTTTGTTTTTACACGTTCACCTTCGATCGCATTAATCAAATAATATTGTTATAACATATACATTTGCGAAGAAAACCGTGGCTTTGTTTTAGTGTGCACCACATGCTTTTTGTTTAACGAATTTAATATTTTATAATTTCACCAACCTAATAAATAATAATGCAGACCAATCAATTGTTTTTTTCAACTTACTTAATTTACTTTTATTTATTAACTTTAGAATGAGTGTGTTCAATTTCAAAGGAAAATACACAGTGTTCATCGGGAGAGAGGAAGACCGCGCCCGACGTAAGCATACATTTGGTTAATAATTGAAATTAGAAACGATTAAAATTATATCTCCCCGTTTCAGAATGTTACGACTGTGGAGAAAGCGGACACCTCTTTTGGCAAGGAGGTGGTGGCGGCGGCGGCGTCAGTGGTCGTGATGGCGTAAGGCGTCGGGGAGGTGGCAGTGGTAGGGCAGGTGGCAATGCTAGGCCCCTCTCCAGATCCCGCTCCACAACATCTCGGCCGCCGACAAACGTAAGGATATATATTTATATTTAAAAATAAATCTAATTACTTTTCTATATAAATCTAACTAAACGTTAATTTTCAGGAGGTCCGTCGGCAACGGTCGCGGAGCCGAGCGGCCGCGGCTCGACCGTCCAACGATGTAAGTATAATATATTAGTATCCTCTTTAAAGATATATTAGTAAAAAATTTAAAAAAATAATCTATTTTTCGATATTGATAAATCTAATTAAACAAATTATTTTCAAGAGCCGCTGTACGTCACCGCCTGCGAGACGCCACCGCCAAATGTCGTAAGGATATATTTATATAATATTTAAGTGTTTGATATTGATAAGTCTAATTGAACACATCATTTTCAGGAAATTAGTGATGCCTCCTACACCACCGGGGCAGTGCGATGTAAGGATGCAATATAAATATAAATACTTTAGTTTTTGAAATTAATAATTCTAATCAAACATATTATTTTCAGGTGCCGAGAGTAGAAGCGAAGTAAGTTTTTAACAGGACCATTTGTTCGCAACAAACGATTTTCTACGTTTATTCTTTATGTTTTTTTTTCAAATGATCAATAAAATAATGGCCTAAAAAACATATTAAAAACTATTTCATTTACAATTATATTTTCTTTTCCTTTTCCTTTCCAACTGTATATTTTGAAATTACTATGTGTGTACTGAGCGTACGGTATGAAAGACTTTTTAAATTTCTATAAGTTACCAATACATATTGTTCATACTATTGTAACACAATAAATTATATGTGTGGTGTGTGGATCAAATATTATATTAGTAAAAAATTTAAAAAAATATTCAAGTTTTCGAAATTGATGAATCTATTTAAACAAATTATTTTCAGGAGCTCAACGTTGAGAGCACCGGCTCGCCACCACCAAACGCTGTAAGGATCTATTTATATATTTAAGTTTTCGAAATTGATAAATGTAACTAAACGAATGATTTTCAGGAGGTCCGTCGGCATCGACAGAGCGACGATCGTCTTGATTAGGGAAGGCGGCTGGGAGGAGGCAGAGGCGATGACGATCGAAGGCCCCTCTCCAGATATCGGGCCCCATCATCACGAGCGACGTCGAACGTAAGGATTTATTAATATTTTTAAAAATAAATCCAATTACATTTCTATGTAAATCTAATTAAACGAATAATTTTCAGGTGGTCCCTCGTCGACGGTCCTCGAGCCCTGCGTCGCCACCGTCCAGCGTTGTAAGTATATTATGTAAGTATATTATTTTTAAATTTTTTATTAATATATTATATTAATAAAAAATTTAAAAAAATATTCAAGTTTTCGAAATTGATAAATCTAATTAAACAAATTATTTTCAGGAGCTCTACTTCGAGGAGTGCGGTAGTCCACCGCCAAACGCCGTAAGGATATATTTATATATTTAAGTGTTTGATATTGATAATTCCAATTGAACACTTCATTTTCAGGAAATTAGTGAATTCCACGAAGCCGTGGCAAAACGATGTAAGTATATAATATAAATACTTTAGTTTTTGAAATTAATAATTCTAATCAAACATATTATTTTCAGGCACCGAGAGTAGAAGCGAAGTGAGCGAGAAGTAAGTTTTTAACAGGAACATTTTTTCTCAACAAACAATTTTCTACGTTTGTCCTTTTTTTTTCAGATGTTCAATAAACTAATAAATTAATGACTTCAAAACATGACTATTTTATTTACAATTATATTTTATTTTCCATTTCCTTTCCAACTATATTTTTAAATAACTATGTGTGTACTGCGCGTACGGTCTGAATGGCTTTTTTAAATTTATATTAGTTACCAATACATATAGTTCATACTATTACAACACCATCAATTATATGTGTGGTGTGTGGATCAAATAAGATAATAGTTATAAGGGTTCTAAGGATGTCAGTGAAATTAATGACCTGAGGTGTAGGATGTCTAAAGTGTGTAACAAATAAAGAAATACGCAATCAGTACGACGTCATTAAAAGATTTTAGAATCAGTAGACTACAATGAGTAAAACAATTGTATGAATATTGACTAATAATAGAATATAATTTACACTACTATTAAATATTGTTTAAAAGTTTTTACATAAAAATACCTATATGTATTAAAAATAGTTAGAATTTAAAATTTTCTAAAAAAATTAGCTCGTAAAATTAGTTAAACCTATATACCTACACTGCATCACTAATAGTAAAATGTAAAAACGTAAAAATGTAAAATGTAAAATAAATTGTTTTTATGAACACACAATAAAATAAAATAAAATAGTAAATAATTTGTTAAAAAATATAACTACCTACACTATTTTCTAAAAATTTAGAAAAATGGAACATTTTATTTTAATTTCTAATAAAATTAGCAATAGCATTTAAAAAATTTGGAATGTCCCTACTTCCATCATTGTACCCTTCGCAAAGATTTGATAACATATATTTTTTTTTTTTCAACGGTGGTCCAATAGTACCCAGTTGACGCTGCGCGACTTTGGTTTCGTCTGCTGCATTTTCATGCCGCATCTTAGTAATCAATGTCCAAATTGTTGGATGTTTGTGATTCACCTTAATTAATATTAAACAAATTATATTGAATATTTTAATTGAATAAATAAATTGAAATAATAAATAAGTACTTACTAAGTTTGAAAACCGATTATTCCATCCCTCACATACATTGTTAGTCCGATCTCCGTTGTTTAATGTTGCGTCTCTTACATTCCAGACAGATGGTGGAAAATGAGGAGATGTTTTTCGCAATTTTATACGTGTCTCCGATTGCCCGTTCCTAACTCTTTTATACGACCCTATACATATGTGCGTTCAAAATACTCGACCAAATCTGTAGCTTCTTCAGGCATGACACTTTTTAAATAATTTAAACCTTGAACAAATCAAGCTATTTATAGACATTTATAAAATTTAAAATTTTTTATTCTTTTTTCTAAAGAAATACTATTTACCTGTATTAATATCATATATTGGTAAAAACGCCAAGCTATCTAACATGCCACAAAAATGGGAAAACTCTTCATTTAACCTGTACAATTGTTCAAGACCTAATTGTTGTATTTTTCTGTGGGTACTTCGACAGAGATGAAAAAAGCATCCCTGGATTTGAACATCTTCTCCAATAACAGTTTTTATAGCATTTATAACTGCTTTTTCAAAGTCCACATTAATTATCTGTGGGTACGGAAACAAATTTCTTTCGGCACATTTATGAATTATGATTTGAAGCATTTCTTCGTAACTAGATTCTGTTTTATTTTTAAGCAAAATAAAAGCGGCAGTTATAAAAACACCATTTACTTTAACTCGAATCACGTACAGTTGTTGGAATATTAGTGGTGCCATTGAAAAATGTCCGTCCATATACCAGGTAGAAGCTTCAGTTAAATATTTTAAACAATTATCAGTAGCAAAAACAATTATTCGTTCAGTTTCGTCAATTCCGTTATCATGCAACAAAAATCGTGTTGATTTGTCACCCAAATAACACCAATCATTCTCAATAACTAATTGATTAAGACAGTTAGGATTTATTGGGTTGTTCTTCGATTTTTGTCTCCTTAATCTTCTTTTCTCGATTTCTTCGGCTGGCATCAGAGCTTCTGTGTTACGGTCCACTTTTGCTACCACTTCAAAAAATATTTGTCCTGGCTTTTTTTCATTATGTTTTGCAAGTTGGAGCATTTCATTTACACATTTTGTGATATTGATTTTCCCTGAGTTTACGGTACATGTGATCAGATGTGTTGTGATGACGTGTGGTTCAGAATAGTCCAATTCAGATTGTAATATTCCCGGACATTTTAATAAGTTTGATTTCACGCAGCGCCATGACATTTTTTTGATACCTGTATATTTAACAGTATACATGTGCCCACTAAATATGGCTTTTAAACCACCTTTGTTCGATCTCGTTACTTCCATTTATTAATTTTTAATAAATCTATAAGCTACACTTCACTACGTTAACACGGAAAACACGAAAACCGAACGACGTTGACGACGATGAAGACAATAATTACGTATTATAGATTTATATGTAACGACTGACGACAACTGTAATTTGTCGGAGTTTGAAAACCAGACACTAAATATAGGTAGTAATGTAGTCTACTAGTATAGGTAAAGCCACAGCTTATGTCCGTATGGCCGTATAGATACGATATAACAAAATCTAATAAATAATAATCCGATAAAATCATTATAGTCACTCACACTTGTCTTGTCGATAATTTAAACGATAAGATAGGTACCTACATAATATTATACAATGGCATCTCGTGTAATTTCCAGGTTGAATTATATTATTACATTTTACCTTTATCGTAGGACGTAGGCGCGTCGGATCCATAATTTTAGTAATATTAGTAATTAGTAATTTGAGATATTAGAGCTAATTTCATTAGTAAGTAAAGTGTAATCTACTAATTTACGTAAAAACGGATACATTTGGATATTTTGTCCGTGGATATTTTGACCGTTGGATATTTTGTCCGTGGATATTTTGTCCTTGGATATTTTGTCCTAGATTCCGAAAAGGAATATTGATAACATGACTAACAATATATTGACATAAATAGGATTTCCTACTGTTTAACATACGAAGACAGGCTCACTGAATAATATAATTACTCAGGAAGCCCTGTATACGACAATGTTCAAATATAAAATATAAAATAATAGAATGATTATTTTAATTACAACGCTGTACGCAACGATATTCAATATAAAAATATAAAAGAGTAGAATGACTATTTCAACTGAAACATAGATTAGCATTTTACCAATACGCAGAATAATACTGGGAAGTCATAAAATGCGTGGGCTGGAACGATGGTCACACCAGATCACATCCGTGTGCCGAGATACAGTATCTATAGGCAAAGGGTAAGGGGAACTTCATATAAAAGGGAGCCCGAAACGACCTGTATTCAGACGTGTACTACCATCCACTAGTGCAAGCACCTTCACGCCACTCTGTATAACATTATCTGGACTTAGAAAAATATCGAACGTTAAAATAAAATTCACAAAAATTAACATCTGTCTTCATCCCGTCATCATCCACGACTACAACATCCAATAAAGTGTCTGCGACCTGCAATCATAATAACTTGGTTGCCACTTATCTACTATTAGTACTACGATAGTAGGTACCAAGCATCCAAGCTTATTACACTGGCGCAGTCGAACAAAGGAGTTTCAAGGAGCTGAAGACGAGGCGAGCAGTCAAAGCGGCGGAATTAAATTTCCAAAGGCGAGTCGAGCAGTCAAGGCAGCGGATTTCAACTTCAAAGGAGAGTCCAGCAGTCAAGGCGGCTTCATTCAACTTCGGAAGTCCAGTCCCGAAGCAGCGGCTACAGCACGTCAGCAGCTCCACGGAGGTACTGTCGAGGTCTGATCAACCAGGGCGACTCCGGAATCAACGAACAATTCAAGACGGGCCAGCAGACAATCAGGGAAAAATGAACACAGCAGTGGCAACAGCGTTGTTGTGAGTATATTAATTAAGTGAAGATAGATAATTAAATTAAAATTGTATAGCTTGAAGTGCACGTCTCACGTTGATTCATATAAATCAGCGTTTATTTTATACTTGGTGGTGGTGTAAAATATTAGGGAAAAATATTCGAATAAAAATAAATAAAAAAAAAAAAATAGGAAACAAGCTTGGGAAGAACTATATACGTATTTTATAGACAGCTGTAGACTGATCTAGGATTTTTATGGTAAATAGACGGCAAGGACCGCTCTAGGATTTTTTTTTGATAGGCAGCAGGGACTGACCTAAGAATTTTATGGTATTTTTGTGATAGGCAGCAGGGACTGACCTAAGTATTTTATGATATTTTGTGATAGACAGCGGAGACTGATCTAATAAATTAAAAGTAGACGGCGATAGGCTGATCTAGGAAATTGATGCACGGCCGTAGCATTTTTAAATTATATATGGAAATAATTGATTAAAGTGAAATATTGAATTTTTGAATTGAAATATAGAATGATAGATAATTGTTGAAAGAAATTAAATGATATATATTGAAGAAAATAGATTTTGAATTAAAAGGCAGCAGATGACCTTATTAAAGTAATTGACGTCAAATTTTGAAAAGTTTTGGGGAAAAAGAATTAATTATAGGGGCCCTAGGATAAGAATTAGTATAACATTACTACGAATAAGTTGATAGAATAATTGTTAATGAAAAAAAAATTAATTTTTAGTGTTTGAAAATTAAATGGTAAAGCGCGTAAATTAAAAAATTAAAGCATTTAGAGAAAAATAAGTAAAAAGAAAAATAAGGGGATAGGAAGTCGAATATTATTAAAGGGATTTACGGCGTAATTAACCGGACATTTTTATATAATATTCGAGCGTAGTACGAGCGCGTACGTAAAAAACATCGCGGAACAGGGCGAGGGAAACGGGTGAGGAACACCGTATCGAAATTTAACACGCGTAGCATAGTCGGTCGAACGTTTTACGTGTTATTAGATAGGTACTCATTCATTTCAACGTACGACGCGCGTTTTACGTAATTTCTTTTTATTATTTTTGCATGATAGTTATATTATAAGTAATAATTTGTACGTATTATTAGTTTTGGTGACGGTAGTTACGTATTATTAGTTATAAATTAATAATATTATATATATGTAGAGTAAACACTGTTGGTAATTATTTACGAGGATAGGAAATTAATAATTTAGTAGATATAATTTATTGAAAATTATATATATGTAATGTCTAGATAAATATATGTCAGAATCCGATAGTTCAGATATTGACACTAGTTCTACGGACAGTTCAATAAAAGTTGAAAAATATAAAACTAGGAAAGAAATAAAAGCGGAAATTTTAAAAGACGCTGTAAAGAAAGAGATTTTAGGACAAACTAGGAAACAAGTAATTAAAGCCGAAAAAATTGTTAAGGAAAAATTAGTAAGAACACATAGTTTAACAGAACAAATAGGTACCACGCCACGAAAACAAACCGTAGGACGTTTATGTACTAGGTCAGATTCAAGCGTAGTTCACGTACAGTTAGTCAGTCCCTTAGAATCAATAGTTAAGAAAAAAATGAGTAAAATAGATTTAGATAAAGCAATTGCTATGATACCTATTTGCACGGGCAAAAAGGACGTAGCCGAATTTATAAATATTCGTGAAATCGCCGTTAAGGAGACAACGGAAGCAGAAATACCGATATTATTGAAAATAATTACTTCTAAGTTAACGGGAAATGCGTTAGAAGTAACAAAATATCGAAATTTAGAAACATGGGGACTGGGGAGCAATAAAAACAATATTAGAGGGGGCATTCGAACAAAAAGTATCGGAGAGGGCCCTATCAATAGCTTTAAACACGGCACGTATGGCCGAGGGAGAAAGTGTAGCAAAATTCGCTAGTAGAATCGAAGAATTATATTATAAACTCTGCGCGGCAAGTACGATAGGTTTATTACAGGCCGAGGCAGACATAGTGAAAAAACAAACAAGGAAACAGGCAATGATCATATTTATGACAGGGTTACCTCATCACCTATATACAGTACTGAAAAGTCGAAATCCCAGTACATTGGAACAATGTTTCAAAATGGCAATCGATGAGATGCTCGAATATGAATCAAAAGTAGAAATGGATAAATTACAAAAACAAATTAGTAATGGGAAACAGGCAGACGTCAATAATGATGAAAAACGACAAAATGGTGGTAATGCTAACAACGCAGTTAATCGCGGAGGACACGGTAATGCAAATCAAAGCAATAGAAATAATAATTTCAACGGGTATAACAACCGATATGTTAATCACAACAACCGCAATAACTATGGGAATAACAATCAGAGCGGATATGGCTCACACATGGTTAATCGCGGCGGTTATCGGGGCGGAAACGGCTATGGACGAAGTTTCAATGCCAATAATGTACAACAGAATAATAATAACCGAGGCACCGGATGCTACACTTGTGGCAGATCTAATCACATAGCACGGGATTGCTGGAGCAATCGACCTAATGCGCAACAAAATACGTATAATTATAATCGTGTAAGCGGCACGCGTAATGCGAACAACAACAATAATGTTCGTAGGGACAATAACAATATTCAGGGTGTACTTTGCAGTTACTGCAATAAGATAGGTCATGAAATTTCAAATTGTTATACAAAACAGAAAAACGAAAGAAATACGTCGGGAAACGCCAACGGACCATCACCAGTGGGAGTC